CTCCTGAAGGTAGCTGCTTTTTTTCTTTTTGAGACCAGACGTGGATTGATTGGTAGAAATAACTTTCATGTATTCAGCCAGCTGTTAGAGGCATTGATTTGCTACTGTATGAAAGTCTGATTCAATCCTCCTTTCTTTCAAAAGGTGGGAACCTCCTCCAAAACACCAGTGCTCTACAATGGCTGTATAGCTCTTACTAAATGTATTACAAGCAGAGTTTTATAATCTGTTTTATAGTTTATGAGGAAAGAACATGAGGGATCAGGAGGTCTCTTCAGCTACTCTTGAGCTCACTGACAAGTCTTGGCACTGTTGCTGGTGAGTCCTAATTAATGGGGTCTGTGGGGATGTGTAAGAGGACTGATGATGATCAGCATTTCCATCAGTGATATGGGAATTGATGTGGAATTAGTGTGGAAGGGAATTGAGAATGAGCCATAGACTGAGGAGGTGGTAAATAAAGTGAATGCCAGTGTAGTCTTGTAGAACGCTTTGGGTCTTTTCCTAATGTGGACTGATGCCCATGCAGTGGGCTCTTAACAACCCAACTGCAGGGTTGTGACTCTCAGAACTGATTGTTCCAGCCTTATCTTCTGCATCAAGGCTGCTGTCTGGAAAGAAGTGGCTTAGAGAGCAATTTTGAGGATACAGCGGGCAGGTAATTTCATGAAGCTTCCCAGTGTCCTCCTTGACCCGATGGATGATGTGGGTGTAAAGAGTGAGGCAGTCATTGGAATGGTTTGCTGCCTCTGCACCAAGCAGCATTCAGGAAAATGAACATCAGAATAGTGGCTTTAGTGTTGAAAAACTGTGAAAAGGATGGAAATGGGAGCTACTGAAACATTTTGGAAACTGAAGACAAAGAAAACTCCATCTGTTTAGCTTACTGAAAGGAGACTGTTGTCAACTATTTTCTCAAAGGGAAATTTTGACATAGTAAGGGATGTGCATAACACAAATAAATGGCTATAAAATAAGTCCACATGGACTGGAATGAAATGCCTGAGTGTGTGTGTGGGTTTGTGATTGACTACTGGAAGTTATCCAGGGAAGTGATGGATTCTCTATTTCATGATGCCTTTTTTGTAATCATGAATTTGTGAGAGGTGTGTGTTATCCTTGGTGGGAGGTATCATTGGTGGTGTGAAGAGGCAAGTAGAGGGAGCTGTGGTCTCCTACTGTGAATTCTACCTAACACATCCTTTCTGTATAGTGCTGTTCAGGTTAAAGTGTGGGTGAACAAATCCTTCCGATCAGGAGCATGTTGGTACCTGTGTCTAGTTATTTTCACTTGTACTCCAAAGCCTTTAATCCATGTTGAGCCTGTTCTTGTGGTGAACTCTTTCAAAATCTTAGGACTCTTTCTTCTCCATGGCTCAATGTGAAGATGGAAGTTAGACCAGCATGTTGTCTGCCAGCTTCAAGTGAACTGGTGGCTCTTGTGAGCAGGACAGTTCTGTGCAATCATTGAAACTTGGAATCCACCTCCATTAAGGGTGAATCTATGCTGCAAAACATTGTGAGCAGATCTGTGGTGAGCCTCTGAGCAGTGCATGCTGATGTGTTTGAGGGACTGGCCCAACGGGTGGAGGTTGTGGGAGAGGCCTCTGTAGGCTGCTGAATTGAATCCTGGAAAGACCAGTGTGTCAGCCAAGACCTGGTGGATATCTGCATACCTGATGCTCCAGGCTTGTACAATTACTTAAAGCTTATTTGGTCCCATGCTCAAGCATTGTTTTAGTTGTGTTGGAGAAACCTTTTGCCTGGATGCTATGAAATGATGGTTATGGCAGAGGAGATGAAAATGAAAAATGTGTTGGCACATTGATCACTTTTTTTATCTTGTGCATTGTTAACCATTAATCCTGGATACGAACCACTTACTGCCTTGCCCACGTTAATACCAAAGCTGAGTGCAGCCAGCATGTTTCACATCTGCTGCCAGACTTCAGCCTTTGAGGGGTCACTTCCATAGCAGTTGCCACCATTAGTGAGTAGCTCACAAAGGGAGGAGTTTGTCCTGTCCCTTTTGAAGAAGAAAGAAAGAATTGTCACTGTGCAGTAACTGAACATTTGAACTTAAAATAACTGTGCCTCCCTTCCAGCTCCATTCCAAATACCCTATGTGCTGTGGCTGGTGTTGCACCTCTTAAAAAGAGCTTGCTCTCAAAATCAAACTCCAGAGAGGCTCTCTGAGGACTTGGTGCCATGGAGGGCAGCTGCTCTGGCTGCGCTGGGACTCTGTCACAGAGGGTGGGAAGGAGGGGGGCGAAAGGGGGAATAGTGAGATCTTGAGCAGGGTGACACTGAGGAGCAGGAACAGCTAGGTGGAAGGTGGAGATTGCTTTCTTTGAGTGCCATGTGGGGAAGGAGGGGGGGAAATAGTGAAAAATGGGTTGTAATGATGCTGTGGAAACCCTGCACAGGATAGAGCTGGGCCAGCATGAAGCTATTAATAAACCAGCAGTGTCTGTCTGTGCCAGTTACGCCAATGGGTGGAACCATAAAAATGACATTGGGTTGATTTAGAAATGAGCAAGTGCTAGTATGCTGCAGCTGCCCAGGAGTGAGGGATGGGAACCAGACAAGAGGATAGGATGTGATGATTGCTTTTAAGCATCTGTAGTTCAAAGATGAGATACAAGAGGAGAAAGATGTATTGTTTTGATAGTGATAAGCTCTGTTTTAAGTCTTTTTTTGCTGACAGGATACATGTGCCACTAGATGGGGGTTTTGGTTTCTCACTGATGTCTTGCTGGGTGTCTCCAGTGGGTTTGTGGTTTATGGGATGTCACTGAAGAGGCAGGTGCTGTCCCTAATACCTGTGGTGGGGGTTGTGGGTGGCAGCATGATCGTGTGGTCTTGCAGTGCTGCTTTGACCCGATGGTTGAGTGGCATGTCAACTTTGATGTCCCTCCCTCTGTTAACCTATGGCATCTCTTCCT